AGGGTATAAAAACTGCAACCAACTTCAGACTGCTGTAATTTCTAAGCCACTCGTCCGACAGCTGTTAAAATTATTCCAGTGACAGCCACTCGTTCGACAGCTGTTAAAATTATTCCAGTGCCAGCTCATAATATTGTTTACAAGCATACAAAAGCATTTTGGTGAGAACTTTCCAGAAAAAAAGTTATTCGTGATTGAATTGAAGCGTGATAATGTGATTTCTTTATATCTGAATGGTTCTAAATGGTTCGAAAAGTAAAGAAGCGAAACCCGCGCCGCAGTGGCCGAAAAATGGGCTGAACATATCGCAATATTTCATTCCTCAAATATTTAATATCAAGCTCGGGGTAAAACCATGGGTTTTCCAAAAAGTGCAAGAACTTACACCGCAACAGAAAGAAAATAGACTCAAAAGAGCTAAAGAGTTGTTTCACTTGGGCGAAAGTTGTGAACTGTCGAATTTTGTTTTCTCCGAAGAAAAAACATTCATTGTCCAGCAGTTTGTGAACAAACAAAATGATCGTGTTTGTTTGCCGGAGAGGTCAGCTGTAAATGTGCACCTTCGGTTGGCCACCAGAACTAATGCGCCGGCCATGGTGATGGTGTGGGCCGCCATAACAGCCGATGGTCGCTCTCCGCTCGCATTAATCGACCGTGGCATTAGAATAAATGCCGAATATTATCGCGAAAATATTCTGGATGATGTATTTAAGCCTTGTGCAAGCATACATTTTGTCCGCAGACCTTGGACATTCCAACAGGACTCAGCACCATCGCACTCAGCACGCGCCACCCAAGAATGGTTACAAAATGAGGTTCCTCGCTTCATTTCCAACGCACAATGGCCACCAAAATCTCCGCATAGCATTCCGTTGGACTATTGTGTCTGGAGTATTTTGGAAAGCAAGGTTTGCATTAAAAATACTAAAGTGTCGATCACCTCAAGCAAGTGCTTCGTCGGGAATGGGCCAAAATACCACAGAGCAACATTCGGGCAGCGTGTGACGGTTTCATTGGCCGTTTGAAGGCCATAATTCGTGCCAAAGGTGACAAATTCGAACAAATCCAAACTTATTCTTAAATTTGATGCTATTTCCGACATTTTTTGACTTTGTTGCAGTTTTTTTGTATCTCACCCTGTATATGGGATCACTGTTTATGTACTCCACAAAAAGATTAAGGGTATATTAAACGCACTTTATTTCTCCTCTCAGAAAAGTTTCTGTGTAGGTCCCGTATTTTTTATAGTCTCTATAGGATGCTACATGCAAATCTTTGGAATTTTGATGGTTTCGGCATCATTTTCTAGCCAAATTACCTGAAACTTCTTTTTTTAATCCAATAGATATTTTCCGAAAATAAAGGAATTTTTTTTAGGTCTTTAATGTATATTATACTTTTTATGGGCTAGGAGTTTCCTGCAGATAGAATACCTTTTCAATTCGCCTAACAATGACATGATGTCTTTAAATAGTAGACATTCTGAATGGATTATGTTTAGTATTCTTGCAAGTTTTCTATCTTAAACATTCATGCGTAAAACAGTTTTTCGAAAATATAGCACTTGCTTAAATAAATTCTGTTTTTTCTTTTTATAAATTTTTATTTCTCTTGCATGTGTATGACTTATTTTTATGTTATCTTTTTAGCATCTCTACTTCCTTGCCTTTGGCACTGTTTCATATTCATCAAATGTGCATGAAGAAATATTTCATTGAGGTTATCGGTGATATTTCTATTCTCATAATTAATGCAGATATCTGACCTCGGCAACACTGTTGAACAATTAGCTTATTAGAGTGACATGATTAATGGTTTTCTTTAAAATATAACAAATAACGGCAATAAATTCGATCAAGCTGAAATGTTTGATGTCTTATACCCTGAGATAAAAATTGCGTCCAGCAATTTCCTTTCCCTTGTCTTATAAGAGATTAATGGTTATTGTTACTGGAATTAGTGCAACTTTATTATCAACTTTGCATCTAGCCTGTATTTTTACATGGAAAAATATATCCATGAGCTCGTATGCTCATTTCACGTCATTTCCCCCCGTGTGGGGGAGGTACCAGAAGGATTGGGCCGATATATTCCATCTTCACACCAAGTCTTGTGTTAATAAAGAGTGAAAGAGATCGTATTCTCTTTCAAATTCGACACATACCAATATTTCTGTCAGCACAAGATCTGTTATGAAGATGGTAGATGTCGTCCCTCTCCTTCTGGCACCTCCCCCACAAAGGGTCAGCATTTTGAATAATCAAAACGATCATAAAATGTGAATTGAGTACCCTCTTCTCTTAAAATTTCACATATCTCAATATTTCTACTAACACCAGATTTGGTGTTAATATGGAATATATCGGTTAATTCCTTCTGGTACCTTTCCCACAAAAGGTCAATATTTTGAATTATTATATCACGTAAAATGCGAAACAAGTAATCGATTCTTTTCAAACTTGGTTTATCTAAATATTTTTCTCAACTAGAATCTTTATGTAAATATGGAAATATCTCATATCCCATACAGAAAAGTAGTTCCCTACAGGAAGTAATCAATATATACCAAATCTGGCACCTTGTCATATATATGTCAGACCTAGGTCATATACGTGATTGATAATATTGGCCAACTCTTTTGGAACCTTCCCCATAAAGGGTCAAAAGCTTGAATAATCGTAACACTAGGCTAAGGGTCGGCAAAACCGACTGATACTTCAAGCATTCTTGGAAAAATGAACAAACAGATCCCGTTTGTTTACTTGTATAATGGTTACAGTGTTCCAGAAAAAATAGTCCTCGTACTGTTATCAGTAATATTGCTGAAGACACTATGTACCAGCAAGTTAAAAAGCAGTACGAGGTAATAATAAAATAAACAAGTAAAAAAGCTGTAAGTTCGGCCGGGTCGAACTTTAAATACCCTCCACCATTTGGTACAAATTTGACAATTTAAAAAAAAAAATAAATAAATAAATAAATAAATACAATCCGTTAAAAATTCTGTTAATATCTTAAAAATACCAAATGCTTATACGACGACGTGGACCTACACAGGCAACTTTTGTCATAAGTTATTACAATATTTAAATGCGAAACTTGAAGAAAAATCTGTTTATAATGTAGCTAAAATCATCAAAATACCGAATATAGGGAGGTACGGTATATAAGACGTGGACCTACATGGCTCATTTTTTGACTTAGGATGTAGTATCCATTACGAACTTCAAATACCAAATTTGAAACGATTCCGGTAAACAATGTCGCTAAAATCATCAAAATATTGAATATCGGGGGGGGTACCCTTATATGGGGGCTACACGAAGACGTGAATCTGTACAGATAATTTTCTGTGTTAGGCTGTAGTATCCATTACGAACTTCAAATGCCAAATTTGAAACAATTTCGGTGAATAATGTCGCTAAAATAATCAAAATACCGAACATCGGGAGGTACAGCTATATAGGGGCTATATGATAACTTGGACCTACATGGCCCATTTACGAACTTAACCTGCCTACTGGCAAAATATACATGTGTGCAAAATTTTAGCCTTCTATCTCAATTTGTTCGAAAGATAGCGTGATTACAACAGACAGACAGACAGACGGACAGGACTAAATCATCTTAGAATTTTACGCTGATCAAGAATATATATACTTTGTTGGGTCTGACATGAGTATTTCGAGGAGTTACAAACGGAATGACAAAATTAATATACCCTCCATAGTATGGTGGAGGGTATAAAAAGAGAATTCGTTAAAACTCTGTTAAAATGTTATAGGAAGTTGCGCTTATTTTGGAGTCTGTACGAAGACGTGGACCTGCATAAGCAATTTATTGTCACAGGCTGTATTACCAATTACGAATTGCACATACAATATTTGAAACGATTCCGGAGAATAATGCAGCTAAAAACATCAAAAACCGAATGTAGGGAGGTACCGTTATATAGGGGCTATACAAAGACCTGGACCTGTATAGACAAGTTTTTGTCATAGACTGTAGTACTCATTAGGAACTTCAAATACGAAATTTGAAACAATTCCGGTGAATAATGTCGCTGAAATCCGCAAAATACCGAATATGGAGAGGTTCTGTTATATGGGGGCTATACGAAGACCTGGACCTACATATGCAATTTTCTGTCATAGACTGTAGTACCCATTACGAACTTCAAGTACGAAATTTTAAACAATTCCAGTGTCACTAAAATCATCAAAATACCGAATATAGGTATAGTTATATGGGGGCAATACGAATACTTGGACCTGTATAGTAAATTTTCCGTCATAGGCTAAGGTTCCGATTAGGAACTTGAAACAATCCCGGTGAGTAATGTCACTAAAATCATTGAAATACTGTATATAGGGAAGTGCAGTTTTATGGGGCTATAACTTAATGTGGACCTATATAACCTATAAAGCGTGAACCCAATACCAAAAATTCTGCAGACCACACACACATATGAGTAAAATTTTGTCAACCTACTTCAGTATGTGTAAAAGCTAGAGTGATTTCAACAGATGGACGGACACACAGACAGATGAATGGTCATCGTTAAATCGACACAGAATTTTATGCTGATCAAGAATATATATACTTTGTGGGCTCTAAAATGTATATTTCGAAGTGTTACAAACGGAATGGCAAATTTGATATACCCTCCATACTATGGAGGTCTGGGCATAAAAAACAAGGATTCCAACGAATCTTAATCCTCTATTTAGGTTTCTTTGCTATGTAACCTTTTAAAACAGCAATACGTGTGACGTCATTTTTGGCTCTACTTTCATAATCTGTAAAGTTTTTCCGTGATTATTCCCTGTATTGAACCAAATATATACCTTAACGCCCCTCGATCACGGCAGGAAACATTAAAAACAACACTTTACCATTAATCAACAAGTTTTTTCACATTTTCGCACACGAGATCAGACATCCTGCTCTCTCCCACTCTTAATCACTTATATTCGATGATTAGCTGACATAATATTTACCTTTTTGATATCTGGCATTCAAACTCAAAACTTTTCGAATTCTTTTGTTGTTATTCTTGCAGTCTGCATCGAAATTCTTGTTATTATCCGAATTATTCTCTTTTGGATGGTGATTGAAGTTTTATTTTTTATTTATGACAATTTCATGTTTGCATGTTGTTGTTTGGCGTGCCGTGTTTTGTTTTTTTTTTTCTTTTTGTTGTCAATTTCAAAATTCTTCGATTATTCTCTAGAAAATTTATGTTTTTTGATTTGCACTTTTTTCTGTTTTATTTTATTTATTTTTTCATTCTTTTTGGGAAACGAATTTTCTTTCTTTCTTTGTAACTGGCCACGATTTATTCTTGATGATGGATATTCTTCGCTTTTCGTTTGTTTGTTGTTGTTTATGTATTTTACTTCTCTTGAGTATGTGTGTATGTTCGGCTTTCAAAATATGTATAATAGAATGTATGTATTGTTGTTGTAACTGCTGTTTTTTTTTTTTGCTATTTCCACCACCACTACGCTCCAACTGAACACTACCACACCTCACACTTTTGTTGTTGTTGCTGTTTGTATTTTAGACGGTTTAACTGCTGCTGGGATAAACGAACACCGTAAGACCAACCGAATTGCCAACAACAAGTGATCGAGTCAGACAAACTGACAGGCAAATAGACGGCACGGAAGATACCACACCACACGAAAATTTCATATAAGAAAAAAAATACACACTAGAGGAAAAACACCAACAACAACAACCCAACAACAGCAACAATTCACGGGGAAAATGCAAATAGTTTTCTTTTCTTTGTTGTATGGTTGTTGCTGCCACTACAATTGTATTTGGGGGGGTTTTTCACTTCTCCACTTTTGTGCTGCTGCTAGACACCTTCAAGTAATTGGAGTTTTTTCTTCGTTTTTGTTGTTGTTTTTAGACCCACTCACGTTAGATGCTCTTCTTCTACGGCGATTTTCTTTGTAACTTTTCAACGTTTAGCTAAGTTTATCCGCTTCGATGTACTCTCAATGGCAACGTTCCACTCGTAACTGTTGTTTCCAAAGCTAACAGCATTTGATAATGGCTGAGACCCGGCCTGGTTCCATAGCCAACAAACTGATGCCTTTCATTTAGTGCTCTCAGGTTCTCTCACATATACTATTCAAAATCACTCTCTCCCTCTCTATTTCACAGATAATTAATTCCACTTGCAGTTCTCTGTTGGGGCAAACAAAGCCTCTGACTTACATTCCCAAACACGGAGTCCGAACTTAATTGTTGTTGCAGCCATAACCGTGGCTTGTAGTTGTTGTATTGTGTTTGGTCGTAAAGTGTAAAGTGAGATCATCTAACCAGCCGGGCAGGCAGGCAAGCAGGCAGTCAGTCAAGCAACAAGCCACCTCACAAATGAACTTCCTCACACCACACGCTCTCTTGGGCATACCATATCCATATGGGTATCGATGGATGTATGTATGGATGTGAGTATGGCCGCCCAACAACGCCACCACCATTAGCCACATGAGTTCCCAGCCCCATTCACTTGTTTGCTGTTTCACTTGTTGTTGTTGTTCTTTTTGTTGCTGATACTCATTTTTGGTTATGTCCGCTTCCATTGCCGTTGTTGAAGTTCTATCCGCTGAGATTGTGCACTTGCTTTGCATTTGTGTGTGTGTGGGAGAGTATCTCTGTTTTGGTCTGGCTGCTGTTAAGTCCAGCTTACACACTGCTGTTATGGCAAGTGTTGCCAACCTCAAATATTTTGACAAGTACAGTAAGAGTATTTGTTAACATTGGAGTCTGAGCATTTTCTGCCTACAAGAGAGGGAGATGTAGACTCCATATTAAGATGGTGTTATATTTCCAATTGGAATTTTAGTTATTTGGATTTGTTTCAAAAAATATGTCAATATTCTCTTTGCAAATAGTTAACAGAGTTGCCAATGGAGGTTTTTTTTCGTTGGTGTTTCTTTTCGAACGTTTGTTTTCTAAGTCTTTTGATTTCTGATGAAGGACTTTAGAGACAATCATGACCAAAGAACAAGTCACACATTATCAGATTCGCGTTCAAAATACATTCTTGTGATTAAATTTCGAAATGTAAAATTTAGTTCGATGTCAAAATATATTATTCATATTGAAAAAAAAAAAAAATTAAAACAATTGTTTTCTTTGTTGATTTCGGAAAAGCAAAGCAATTAATGTTTTGAGTTTTCTCTTGATAAGGCAAAAATGTTTGGCTGGCTGGCGAAGGGAGTATCCGATTTGGTCCAAACTTGGTACATGGCAACATTATTATTAAACCTAGATCGAGTTCAGAGAAGGATAACATCGGTCCACTTCTTCTTGTACCCCCCACACAAAAGGTCAGAATTTTCACAGAAAATAATTAACCTCATAGAATACGAAAGAATCATCCAATTTTATTTAGTGTTGGGCCAGGTGCGAGGTACCAAAAAGAGTGGTACGACATATTCCATCTGAGTTTATGTTGATAGGAATTTTAGGATGTACACGTTAGAAAATAATCGGATGCTCGTTTCGTGTTTTATTAGCTTTGTGGGGGAGTAGTGGATCGATATTTACCATCTTCTAACCAGATCTTGTGTTAGTAGAAATATAGGGATGTGTGGCATTTGAAAATATTTGGATGCTTATTTCGCATTTTATGGGAGTTATAATTTTTTAAAATTTTAACCCTTTGTGGGGGAGATACCGGAAGTAGTGGTCCAAAATATTCCATATTAATAGCTGATTTCATGTTAGTAGAAATATTGATATGTGCGGAGTTTAAAAGTGATCGGATGTTCTTTTCGCATTTTAATAGTTTCATAATTATTTAAAATTTTGAACCGTTATGCAGGAGGTACAAGAAGCAGTAGTTCGTTTTATTCTCAGCTGATATTGGGATAGGTGAAATTTGAATAGAATCGGATGCATATTTCGCATTTTATGAGAATTATAAATATTCAAAATGTTGACCCTTTGTGTGGGATGTACATTAAGGAGTGGACCGATATCGTTCATTTTCGCACCTGACATCGCGCTGATAAAAATATTGAGATTTGCACAAAATTGGATGATCCTTTATTGTTCTATACGGCAAGATATTTCCTGAAAATATTTTGACTTTTGTGGGGAAGGTACCTGAAGAGTGGACCGATATTGCCCGTATCCGAACTTGAACTAAGTCTGATAATAATAATAATAATAATAATAATAATAATAATAATAATAATAATAATAATAATAATAATAATAATAATAATAATAATAATAATAATAATAATAATAATAATAATAATAATAATAATAATATTAATAATAATAATAATAATATTAATATTAATAATAATAATAATAATAATAATAATAATAATAATAATAATAATAATAATAATAATAATAACAAGAATAATAATAATAATAATAATAATAATAATAATAATAATAACAATAATAATAATAATAATAATAATAATAATAATAATAATAATAATAATAATAATAATAATAATAATAATAATAATAATAATAATAATAATAATAATAATAATAATAATAATAATAATAATAATAATAATAATAATAATAATAATAATAATAATAATATTAATAATAATAATATTAATATTAATAATAATAATAATAATAATAATAATAATAATAATAATAATAATAATAATAATAACAAGAATAATAATAATAATAACAATAATAATAATAATAATAATAATAATAATAATATAATAATAATAATAATAATAATAATAATAATAATAATAATAATAATAATAATAATAATAATAATAATAATAATAATAATAATAATAATAATCATAATAATAATCATAATAATAATAATAATAGTAATACGATGTACCAAGTTTGGATCGAATCAGATAAGCATTTCAAGAGCTATCGTGCCTACAGGCCAGACGGGCTGGCGGCCGACATCCCTAGATCGACCCCAAACGTGCTGAATTGACCCAAAGATACCTAGGGTTTATACTCGTTTTTTCGATGAAGCACGTTTTGGTGCTATCAAATGATAAATACCCTATGTAGCCATAAAGCTGAGGGTATAATGAGATAAGTCGGTCCACGATTTCCTGTAGCGCCCATGTTACGCTATCTCTCGTTCTCGTACTATAGTCCCCTTTCAATTGTACCTTCCTTTGTTCGTAGTAATGGCACGATTCAGCAATAATCGTTAATTTCCCTTTTACTAATTGAATTCATATAATAATCAATGACAAAAAAGAACACAAAAAGATTCATCTCTAGGCACCAAAACGTACATCTTTTTTTTTTCTTTGGACCATATCCATTTTAGGACATTTGGAGTCGGTCTAGCGATCGGTTCATTCCTTCTGGTACCTCTTCCACAAAAGGTCGGAATTTTCAATATATTTTACTGCACAGAAAGAGAAAGGATAATCCGATTCTGCTCCAACTTTGCAAATCTTCTTATTTGTATCAGTGCTAGGTTAGGTGCGAAAATGGACAATATCGGTCCACTCCATCAAGTATCTCCTCCACAAAGGTTAAAAATTTTGAATAATTATAATTCTTATAAAATGTGATGTAAGTGTTCAATTGTCTTAAAATTACATACATCACAATATTTTTATTAACCCAATGTTTGGTGTGACCCTCACAAAGGGTTAATATTTTGAATAATCAAAACGATCATAACATCCGAAATAAACATCCGGTTTTCTTCATATTTCACACATCACATTTTTTTACTAGCACAAGATCTGCTGTGAAGATGGGATATATTGGAACATTCCTTCTGGTACCTCCTCCACAAAGGGTCAAAATTTTGAATACCCATGAAGCTTATAAAGATGGTAGAGATCGGAACATTCCTCCGCCACGAAGGATCAACATTTTGAATATCAATGGCGCTCATAAAACGCGAAATTAATATTTCCATTAACGCAAGATCTGTTGTAAAAATGGGGGAACCGACCATTTCTTCTTGTACCTCCCCCACATAGGGTTCAAAAATTTGAAGAAAAAACTCTCAAAGAAAGCGAAATAAGAAACCAACTCTCTTCAAATTGCAAACATACAAACATTTTTGCTAACGCAAGATCTGTTCTGAATATGATATGTATCTGCGAGCCCCTTCTGGTACCTAACCCTTAAAGGGTCACAATTTCAATAACTTTTTCTGTCTCATATAAAGTGAACGAAGTAACCAATATAGTCCAACAGTATTAATAATCATAATAGATGTCAAAATTTATTTACATTATCGAACATTTGCCGATTGATTCTAATTAACTGTTGTCTTGTTACCATGTAGGCAGAAAGCAAATTAGACAAAAATGAGCATACTTTCAGGCGCAATTTATTGAATTACTAGAGAAAAACTATTTAATATTAACCCTTAAATCACTACCAAAGTTGAGCGTATCTGTTAAATTTAGTGTCCAAATAGGATAATTCAAAGTTGATTTAATAGTATTCGGTTTGTAGATAAAAAAGAAATTGTAAAGAAAGACCAAAGTCGTTTATGATACACTACACCAATTTGCATGTAATATTTGGGAGGTTTTTCCAAATCTGACCCGATCTCTATAAAATTTAGCAGAGGCATTTCTATGCTGATAGTTGCCACCAAATAGCGCTGTTGTGGAGAGTATTTTACGGAAAATTTAATGAAAAATCTGATGAAACGTATATATGGGACCTATAGCTATATCCCAACCGATTTTAAATTTGATACACTTTCTTCAAGACTAAATTCATTTGTATGTTCCGAAATCCATAAAATTCGGGCTTATATTACCCATTTCGTTCACAATAAACTTGAAATCTAGTCAAGATATATATAGGAGCTATATCCATATCTGAACCGATCTCGATAAAATTTATTATATATTTAAAATTTTTCTTCGAGTATCGTTGTTACGAGTGTAGTGCATATCACGGCTGTGGAGGAGAAATGTAACAAATCTGAACCGATTTCCATCAAATTTGACACACTAGTTTCTACGCCCAATTTGGTTATACGTGCGAAATGCCATCCTATTTGGACCAATATTACATATTTGGTGCACAATAAAATGCAAATGTGGCGAAAATATATGTGGGAGATATATCTAAATTTTGACCGATTATTTCCAATTTCAATAGGGTTCGTCATGGGACCAAACAAATGTTTTGTGCAAAATTTTATCTTGATTTTTGTTTACAAAAATACGTGGACAGAGAGACGGACGTCGACCCAGAATGTGATTCTATGCAGATCACCAAAAGGAACTAAGGGTCTATGTTTGCAATAGGGTCCTATAATTTAAGAAATATTTCATAAGATTTAATATAGAGTTTTGAAATTTGATAGCGGGCTTCGGATTGCTTCAAGAATCACTGGTTTATAAAGTTAAAAAACATTAAGTTCGGCCGAGCCAAAATTTAATACCCTCCATATTAGGGTAAACGAAACATTTTAATAGAAAAGTAACACTTAGACCGTTTGGATAATGCAGTTAACCTTATCAAAAAAACACAAAGTGATTGAGGCCGTTATATGGGGCCATACAAAAACGGGAACCTCTACAGACAATTTTATACTTTAAGGATTGTCATTTATCAAATTTTCAAAAATACCAAATTTGAAATAATTATGTGCGTAAATGTGACTAGGTTTATCAAAATACCGGATATCGGTCAGTATCGTTATATATGGGCGCTAAACCAAACCTGGACCTATACATGCAATGTTTCGCCACACGAGCTAGAAACTATTATGACCTACAAATACCAATTTTTAGACAAATCCGAGGGAAAATGTGCAAAAATCAACAAAATACCGAAAGTCGAGAGTTACTGTTATATGGGACTATACTTAAACGTGGACCGACATATCTAATTCTCCATACTAACCATACTAGATACAATACAAATTGTCCTACTAAATTTTGAAGCTATACATCAAATAATGTGGGCTCTATCGTGATTTCAACAGACAGACGGACGGACATCGTTAAATATATATGGGGTCTACGACGAATATTTAGGGATGTTACTAACAGAATGACAAAGTTAATATACCCTCCTTTTCAAGTAGGAAGGTATAAAAATGGGTCATGTCAATACATGGTACAACCCTTATATAAAGGTAGTTTTAGGTATAGGTGTATTTTGGTTTACCATCTGTAGCCATAAAAAGAGGGCCCAAAAAAGAAAAATACTTTCTTATCGTTCCAATATTGTTTCAGAGCAAAGACCTTACCTATATTAAGTATAAATTCTAGGTTCGCAGCAACATATGTATCGATGGGGTTAAACTAAGTTTGCTGAATTCCTAGCTGCCGACAATTATCTCTGCAGTTCGACACCCTTACGCTGAGGCACGTTTTAAGTGGGCTATAAAAACATCAGCAGATAAACAGTTATAAACCAAATTTTCGAGCAGGCAATTTTTTGTATAAAAGCAACAGCTGGTATGACAATAGCATTGAATTTAATTCTCTCTCACTTGGAAAAAACCAACAGCACTTGAAAAATATTTAAAATGACATCTTCTTCCTTGAGAATATTATTTTTGTTGGTATTGCTTTTGAATATTTTCATTGGAATTTCCATGCAAAATTGGGATGATTGCCGCGAAATTACCATACAAAAACGTACCGATGGCTCTGTGGACTTCTATCGGCCCTGGTCGGATTACAAACGTGGTTTCGGCGATTCGTCCAATTTTTTCCTCGGATTGGATGAGATAAGTCGTCGCACCAATAGCTGTCCCCATGAACTGCTGTGTGTCATGGAGAATTGGGATGGAGATCGACGTTATGCCAATTATGATTCGATAATTGTGGGCGGTGAAGGCGAGAATTATAAACTAAAAATTTTGGGTAAGTATACTGGATCGGCTGGAGATTCGCTGTCATATTCGGTGGGACAGAATTTCACCACAATCGATCGTGACAACGATGCATGGGTTGGCAATTGTGCTATTCGTTACACTGGAGCCTGGTGGTACAAGGATTGTCATCAATGGTAAGGGGGGGTTTAATATTTCATTATATACCCTCACTTTACAATCATTCATGTGAATGCATGTCCACCTTTCTTGCAGCAATCCCAATGGCCTCTATGGCAATAATGAATTTGGAAAAGGCATAAATTGGTTGACATTTATGGGATATAATTACTCCATGAAATCGATTGAGTTAATTTTGAAACCCAAATGTAGTTGCTGATCAGGGGGTGAAGTGTAAGGAAACGCTTTTCGTTGAATCATGTATTTTGTAGTAAAGTTTTTAATTAAATTTTGTGTGTTATATAACTATTAATGAATAAACAAATATATTTAAATAAACTAAATTTTCATATTGAAGAAATTTAATAACTTGTTATGTTAAAACTTGGTTATAAAATCATATTAATAGCGGATTTTTGATAAGCGCTTTAATTAACTGATTTCTAAAATATTAAAGAAGTAAAATAGCAGCTATGTTCGATAAGGCCGAAACGTTAATAACATCCACCATTTGGAAGGAACTTCTTAAATATAAAAAAAAATCCGTTGAAAAATGCCAAGTTTTTCGAAATACCAAGTTTTATTTCTGAAAAATGAAGATGGCATCCTAAAAAACCCCGAATATAGAGGTGCTACCCAAAGACGTAGAACCGCACAGAAGATTTTCGGTCATAGGTAATACCCATCGCGAACTCCAAATTACAAATAATTTCGTTGAAAAATGGAGCTAAAATTGTCAAAATACTAAATATAGGGAGGTACCAATAAACAGGGTGAGATGAAAAAACTGCAACAAACTTCTGACTGCTGCAGAAATTTCCAGAAAAATATATTCCATTCGCCAAATATTGTAAAATGAGCTCGGGGTAAAGCCATTGAAATTCCAAAAAGTGCAAGAACTTACACCGCAACATAAAGAAAATAGACTTAAAAGAGCTAAAAAGTTGCTTCGCTTGGCCGAAAGTGGTGAACTTCCGAATTTGTTTTTCTCTGCCGAAATTCGTTGTCCAGCAGTTTCTATACAAACAAAATTAATGATGATCGTATTTACTTGCCATAGAGGTCAGCTGAAAATGTGTCGGTTGGCCACTAGAACTCAAGCGCCGGCCATGGTGATGGTGTGGGCCACCATAACAGCCGATGGTCGCTCTCCGCTGGTATAAATCGACCGTGGCATTGGAATTAATGCCGAATATTATCGCGAAAATATTCTGGAGGGTGTACTAAAGCCTTGGGAGGCTAAAATTTTGGCCGCAGACCTTGGACATTTCAACAGGACTTAGCACCATCGCACTCAGCACGCGTCACCCAAGAATGCTTACAAAATGTGCTTCCTCGCTTCATTTACAGCGCACAATTGCCACTAAAATCTCTGGATACCAATCCGTTGGACTATTGTGTCTGGAGTATTTTGGAAAGCAAGGTTGGCACTAAAAAATACCAAAGTGTCGATTACCTCAAGCAAGCGCTTCGCCAGAAATGGGCTAAAATACCACAGAACAATATTCGGGCAGCGTGTGACGGTTTCATTGTCCGTTTGAAGGCCATAATTCGTGCTTAAGGTGACCAATTCGAACAAATCTAAACTTATTCTAATATTTGATGCTATTTCCGACATTTTTTGCTTTTATTCAATAAAATTTTGAAAAAATGTAAAAATTATGGCGTTTGACTTTGTTGCAGTTTTTTATCTCACGCTGTACATATTTCATCCAATCCCACAGATATCTGATAGATATATCTCATAGATATCCACAGAGCGATCGGTACGAAATCGTATATCCCCATACAACGGTACCTACCGATATTCGGTATTTTATTGATTGTAGTCAATTTTTTTGTTGAAATTCTCTGAATTTCCATACAAGGAGTTCCTTTTAAACACTTTATTCCCTGGAAGAGAATTGTCTATATAGGTCCACGATATCATATAACCTACATACAAGGGTACCTCCCGATATTCGATAGTTTGATGATTTTGTTTCAAATCTGGTATTTTAAGTTCCTAATAGGTACTTCAGCCTGTGACAGAAAATTGTCTATGCAGGTCCTGGTCTTCGTATAGCCCCCCATATAAAGGTACCTCCCCATATTCGGTACTTTGATGATTTTAGCTACATTATTCACCGGATTTTTTTCAAGTTTTGTATTTTAATATAGTATTGGCTTATGACAAAAGTTTCCTATGCAGGTCCACGTCTTTGTATAGACCCCAATAGTACGACTATATTCGGTATTTTTAGGATCCTAACAAAATTTTTAACGAATTTTATTTTTTTTTTTAAATTTCCAAATTCGTTTCAAAATATGGGGGGGTATTCAAAGTTCGGCCAGGCCGAACTTACTGGTTTATTTCATATTTTTTATCGCATGAGATTTTTTTTTAATTTTGCTTTATATTAAATTGTACATTTTGCAAATTTTTTGCACCTTACAACACTAGTGTTATCTATTCGATTTATTCGTTATTTATTTAATCATTCAATATGCCTGAAAATGTTTAAATATGAAATTTCTGGTCTTTCCGAAAGGGCGATTTAAACATAACCAATGCCGCGCGACCATATGCATTAACTCTTTGCAACTTCCATTGTCTTTAAGATAGCATTTATTAATTTAAAACATTAAAATAAATATTCGATTACATTCAATTTTTTTTTGAAATACTTTTAGGTTGGTCGCAAAATCATTTCAACAAATTTCAAAGAATAATAATGTCCACGAAAGAGTTCCCAATCCACGCCCTTGGCATATTCCTTGGTTTCTCCCTTCAGATAACTACCGTTAAGATTACTAAAAAGAATAATTGCAAAAATTACAACATCTAATTAATAAAGTTTCATATTGAAATAATTACCTTCGATGACATTCCTTATACCACCAAGCGCCGGTGTATTCAACAGCACAACTTTTGCTCCACGGATCATTATCTTGATCCTTGGTGCTGAATTTCTGACCCAACGAATATGACAAAGCATCTCCAGCGGAACCACTATATTTACCCAATTCCTTGAGAATATATTTCTCAGCTTCGGTGCCAATTATGAATTGATCGTATCTGGCAAAGCGACTATCATTTTCCCAATCTTCCATAAGAATCAGCAACTCATAGGGACGGGAATTGGTGAGTTTATTCAATTTATCCAGGCCAATGAAAAACTCTCCTGAGCTGTTACCAAATCCCTGTTTGTAATCGGCCCAGGGACGAAAGAAATCTTCCGAACCATCCATACGCCGCTGTATGACAATGTCACCCGGTCTTTTGGTACTCTCTCGAATTTCTTTTACACTCATCTCTAGTTTGTGAATTTTCTCCAAAATCCCACTAATTTGTGGGTTTTCATGTAAGCAGGCTGTTAAATTCTCCTGGGTGGCCTCAAGCATTCGATGGGTGTTGAGAAAGCTTTTCTCCAGCTCATTTAATTTGCCATGAATATTAAAGATTATTAAACTTTCATTTTCCTGGGATTTTACAATGGCTTTAACCTAAAATGAAGGAGGCACCACTTTAAAAATTAACCAACTTAAAGCAAACTCACATTCTAACCTCCTCCAATCGGATTTCTTTGAAGAGCTTTGAAAATATCAAAAGCAGTACAATAACTTTTACTGGCATTGCCATTCTGATATCCAGTCTATTTTGTTCGTTTCACTTTTGTACAACGTTTGAAGAAATTTACGCTTTGTCACGGCTTATATAGCCGCGTCTCCAAAAACTTTGCGCTTTCTCAATTTGGTTCTTTACCATGCAAAAAAATCCCCTAAGAAAGTGGTTTGCCCACATCAACAGAGTCCTCTTTTCTCAATTGCTGAAAAAATATGTTTTTTTCCTCAAAAGATAAAATTGCAACAAAAACATAGTACTAATGAGCGATAAAGAAAACCGCATCACACTGGGGGAAGTATCCAACTTTTCATATATGAATTCAGAAAAGAGAAATACTAACCAAACCGCTATAGTTTGTGGTTGGGTTGTTCTTTCGTAATATTAAATTATCAAACTCATGTGTGGCACATACGACGTTCTATCGGACATTAAAAGAAAACAAGTAAACCTAGTGAAATAACTAGAAAACTAAAAAAAAGAACAAAAAATATTCTTAGAGGACATTTTGTTGCAAATACTCCAAACAACAAAAACGAATTCAAGTTTATTGTTTAATAAACAAGTTAAAGGTATTAGTCGGTTTTGCCGACAGATGTATATCCTGAGCTAATGTTCGATTATTTAAATATATTTTGAGTTCTCCTATGATAATTCAAGTTGTTGATCCGAAGGAAGTAAGTTGCGAAGGAATGGGCCAATATTGTCCATTTCGTAACGAAACTAAATAAATATAATATAAATACTGCGCCGTGCTGCGTGAAAAAAGTCACACGCCATAATTTTTTTTTTAATTTTATTGAATGAAAGCAAAAAATGTCGGAAATAGCATCAAATTTTAGGATAAGTTTAAATTTGCTTGAATTAGTCACCTATGGCACGAATTATGGCCTTAAAACGTCCAATAGTCCAACGGATTGTTATCCGGAGATTTGGGTGGCAATTGTGCGCTGTAAATGAAGCGAGGAACCACATTTTGTAAGCATTCTTGGGTGGCGCGTGGTGGGTGCGACGGTGCTAAGTCCTGTTGGAATGTCCAAGGTCTGCGGCCAAAATTTTAGCATCCCAAGACTTTAGTACACCCTCCAGAATATTAACATTAATTCCAATGCCACGGTCGATTAATACGAGCGGTGAGTGACAATCGGCTGTTATGGCGGCACATGCCATCACCATGGCCGCCGCTTGAGTTCTGATGGCCAACCGAAGGTGCAAATTTTCAGCTGACCTCTTTGGCAAGTAAACACGATCATTTTGTTTGTTAACACACTGCTGGACAACGAATGTTTTCTCATCGGAGAAAACCAAATTCGAGAGTTCACCACTTTTGGCCAAGCGAAGCAACTCTTTAGCTCTTTTGAGTTGCGGTCTTTCTGTTGCGGTGTAAGTTCTTGCACTTTTTGGAATTTCAATGGCTTTACCCCGAGCTCATTTTTCAATATTTGTCGAATGGAATATTGTGATATGTTCAGCTCACGAGCCATTTTTCGGCCACTGCGACGCGGGTTTCGATTAAGTTGCTTCTTTACTTTTCGAACCATTTCTGCTGATGTTGCTGTTTTCTTCCGGTAACGAGCGATGTTACGAGACACAAAAGAAGAGAATTGGACTCTACATCACATTTTATAACAATTACACTTATTCAAAACTTTGACGTTGTAGAGGAGGTAATTGATGGCGTGGACCGGCATTGTCCATATTCGCACCTGATTTACAGTTAGATTTGCGGATTATTATTATTTATTATTATTATTTATTTATTTATTTATTTATTTTTTTTTTTTTTTTGAGAAGATTCCACAAATTTGTATGGAATTTATACCCCCACCATACTATGGAAAATATATTAACTTTGTCATACCGTTCGTAACTCGTCGAACTACTCATGTCAAACCCAACAAAGTATATACATATATTCTTGATCAGCTTAAAAGTCTACGTCGATTTAGCGATGTCCGTCTCTCTGTGTGTCTGTTGTAATCACGAACGAATTGAAATAAAGGCTAACATTCTGAACATATGTGTAAATTGCCAAAAGGTAGATTAAGTTCGTAAATGGACCATGCCGGTTAACGTTTTCATATAGCCTCCATATCACGGTACCTCCTACTATTCGGTATTTTAAAGATTTTAGAGATATTATTTACCGAAAATAATTTCTTATTTGAAGATATAAATGGGTTCTACAGCCTATGACAAAAATTTACATATGCAGGCCCAAGTCTTGGTATAGTCTCCATGTAACGGTACCTTCCAATATTCGATATTTTTATAATTTTAGAGGCATTATAGGCCGGAAACCAAAAAATTACATATGCAGGTCTACGTCTTCGCATAACCCACATATAACGGTACTTTCCTTGATTCGGTATTTTGATGATATAAGCGAGATTATTAACGGGAATTGTTTCAAATTTCGTATTTGAAGTTGGGAATCTGTACTACAGCCGATGGCAAAAAATTACTTATGCAGGTCCTGGTCTTCGTATATCCCCCATATACCGTATTGTATATTTTTCTATTTTATTTCAAAGCTTTGGTTTATTAGCGAAAACCTAGAAAATTTACGTTCTGCTGCGGCAGATCATGAAAACAGACTTTATTCAATCAATTTTTAATTTTAGAAACTTTTTTCCAAAATAAATCGTTATTTAATTCGGAGGAATGATCTGTTCACTGTAATAAATTTCATTGGGCTATTATTGAGACAGGATCGCATTTTGTAAGCTTTGGAAATTTTGAAAAGAGGGGAAAACGGATAAGTTGTCATCTGAAATAACTTTATTGTAAGCAGCTTTAAGTCTTCAGGTGCAAAATAAAATCTCTTGTTTATTAGATCCAATATTGAATTTTAAGATGTAATATAATTTAACTTCTACTATTTCTGAATTTGCCAAGTTCCTCTTTTGCAAAAAGTTCAGCTTTTGTAACTATAAATAACTTTGAAACAACAATCTGATTCACATTATTTTAATATTCTACTTCCATATTGTCAAGTGTTAGGTTTTTTTTTTAATAAATGGCTTCATATTAATAGATAATTCGACATGCTCGAGTAGAAATAGGGCAAATCAGAATTCTCGGCTTGAAAACCTTTATTTATATTGTTATTAATAGATAACAATATAGATTTATAATAAGAAATAACATTGACAATTCATTCCTTTTGCAATAAATTCAGGTCGTATTCCCTGAACTTCTAAAACCAGAAATAAAGTATAATTTAAAAGTATGCCACTGCTCTATTATTAAACCAGTAAAGAAAGTCTTAAAGCCGGTCGGGGCCGACTTTATGATACCCTACACCACCCTGCTAATTTAGCAGAGCTGCGAATAACAATTAAAAGTTTTTATGGGAGAATTCAATCATACACGCTATGATTATAGTTATTATTTAAAGTTCAAAGAACTAAATATGCCGAAGCATTTGTATCTTTTAAATTCGGAATTGTATTGCCCATTTCGTGCACAATTAATTTGAAATCGGATAAAGATATATATGGGAGCTATATCCAAATCGGAACCGATCTCGATAAAATTTGGCAAAGGTATTTCTGAGCTGTATTTGATATATTTTCTTGAATATCGTTGTTACGGAGTGCATATTACGGCTGTGGGTAACAAATATGACAAATCGGATGAGCAGTATACATGGGAGCTATAACTATATCTGAACCGATCTTCACCAAATCTGACATACTAGCTTCTAGACTCAATTCGGTCGTAAGTGCCAAATTTCATCCAATTTGGGCGTTTTTAGACGTTTGGTGCACAATAAAAGGTAAATCGGACGAAGTTATATATGGGAGCTATATCCAAATCTGAACCGATCTCGATAAAATTTAGCAAATGTATTTCTGAGCTGTATTTGATATATTTCCACAAATATTGTTGTTACAGAGTGCATATTACGGCTGCGGAGGACAAAAATAACAAATCGGATGAACAATATATATGGGAGCTATAGCTATATCTGAACCGATTTCGATCAAATTTGGCATACTTATTTTCAGGTCCAATCTGATCGTACATCCAAAATTCCATACTATTCGTTTGGTGCACAATAAAAGGCAAATCGGACGAAGATATATATGGGAGCTATACCTAAATTTTGACCGATTAGGGTTCGTCCTTGGGCCAAACAAATGATTTGTGCAAAATTTCATCTTGATAGGGCAATAAATGCGAACTGTATTTTGTTTACAAAAATACATAGACAGACGGACGGACGGACATGCATAAATCGACTCAGAATGTGATTCTATGCAGATCATGAAAGGAACTATGGGTCTATCTCGTTTCCTTTTGCCTGTTACAAACAAATGCACAAAGACATAATACCCTGACCACCTTGTGGTGTAGGGTATAAAAATCACTGCCACTAGTGGAAGCTATATCTTGTTACAGATACCCAAAATATATCAGCCCAAATGTACTGAATTTTAGCACCTCCGGCGAAATTCAGCCTAGAAGCAAGTACATCTAAACCCATATCTCTCACATGCGTGAACAACAGTGAACAGTGATATCGGACATCAGATGCAGCTCGAAAATACCTCTGTCAAATGTTATCGACATCGGTTCCGATTTTTATATAGCTTCGATACACATCTTCATCCGATTTTGCGGTTTTTGTCCATAGTATATGTAAAATCAGCCCAAATTGAATAAATGTTTTCATATTCAATCGAATTTTACCATTTGGTGAAACTCGGTTCGCTATATCTATTATTCCAATAACTATTTTTTAATATGATCCTTATCGAAGTCATATCATGCACTAAACAGCAATGTTATTTGGTTTATAGTTGGTATGATCTTCTTCACATAAATTCCCAATATAAAATTTTTTGTTACGTGAGCTCTACTAAATACGCATAGTGGTGTAGGGTATCATACTGTCGGTGCCGTCCGACTTTTGACCTTTCCTTATTGGTTTCTGTATGTCGTAGTTTTGAATGTGTTAAGTGAGTAAAATACCTAAATCCTAAATATTCAATGTTTCGCCACCGGAGCTAGAACCCCTTACCATTCACAAATACCAACTTTAAGACAAATCCACAAAAATGTGGCAAAAATTATCAAAATGCCGAATATCGGGAGGCACTGTTATATGGGGGCTATACCAAAACGTGGGCCTATACATAGAATGTTTCGTCACTGGAGCTAGACCCCATAATGACCCACAAATTCAAAGTTTTAGACAAATTCGTGGGAAAATGTGGCAAAAATTATCAAAATATCGAATATCGGGAGGTACCGTTATATAGGACTATAGAAAAACGTGGACCTAAACATACAATGTTTCGTCTCCGGAGCTAGAACCCATTATGACCAACAAATACCGATTTTTAGACAAATCCTTGGAAAAATGTGGCAAAAAAGTACCGAATTCTGCGAGGTACCAAAACGTGGACCTATACATACAACGTTTCGCCACATGAGGAAAAACCTATTATATCCTACAAATACAAATTTTTATACAAATCCATCCTAGACACAATACAAATTGTTCTGCTAAATTTTGACGCTCTACGTCGAATAATGTGGGCTGTATCGTGATTTAAACAGACAGACAGACATCGTTAAATCGACTTAGAATTTTATGCTAATTATAAATATATATACTTTATGGGGTCTACGATGAATATTTAGGGATGTTACAAACGGAATGACAAAGTTAATATACTCTTCATTCCACTTGGAATACTCTCCACCATTTGGAACGAAAAAAAAATCTATTAAAATCTTAAAAATACCGAATGTAGCTGTTACATTAAGGTCTATACGACGACATGGACCTGCATAGGTAACAATATTCAAATGCGAAACTTAAAAAAAATCGGTGAACAATGTCGCTTAAATCATCAAAATACCGAATATCTGGAGGTACAGTTATACAATTTTCTGTCTTAGGCTGTAGTATCTACTACGAACTTCAAATACCAAATTTGAAACAATTCCTGTGAATAATGTCGCTAAAATCATCAAAATACCGAATATAGGGAGGTACCGTTATATGGTGGCTATACCAAAATGTGGACCTACATGGTGGACCAATACCAAAAGTCCTGCAGGCATAATATACACTTGAGTAAAATTTTATCAATCTACTTCAACTCGTTCGGAAGCTAGAGTGATTTCCACAGACGGACGGACATCGCTAAATCGGCATCGAATTTTATGCTGATCAAGAATATATACACTTTGTGGGGTCTAAAATGTATATCTCGAGGAGTTACAAACGGAATGACAAACTTAATATACCCTCCATACTATGGTGGAGGGTATAAAAAGAAGACTTTCTTTGAAAGAAACTATAAAACTATAAACGAAAAGTATACTACCGGCACACAGTGCAATTCTAATTAAATAAATGTAAACATTTTTTATCTTCTCATTTCTATATTGGCCAAAATAAACAGAAATCAAAAAGGCAAGAGATAGGCCACGGGATGGGATGTGCAAAAAGTGTTTCTGAAAAGGGGATTTTTCTTAGTAGCCATTGAAAAGAACAAAATAAACAAAAAATCTGAAAGATGGTACAGTATATAAATCCCAACAGAATGGCACCCGGTCAGCAGTAAAGGTAAACGTGTGCCGGCGTAAACATCAGGACAAAGAAAATACTTTGGGAATATAAACTAATCAAATGGCAATAAAACCGGCCGGTTTAATTTTTATTTGGATACTTTTAAGTTTCCGCAGCCATGGCATTCACATGGTAGAGGTATGTATGTTTGCACGTTCTTTTATTAACTCCAAAAAAATGTTCAATTCCAATTGTAGATTACATCTGTTGCGCAGTTGGATCGAAATGAGAGCGTACTAATTTTTGATATTCATGGAAAACTAAATGAACTGGAAAAAACCGTTTTGAGTAGCCATAACAAGTTGTTGGAAACCCAAACGAATTTAACCAATTGCCTAAATGGAAATCCTCAATTGAATGGGCTTTTGGAAAAATTGCACAAATTGGAGGTTGGCCTCAAGGAAATTCGGGCAAATACCAAAAAGCCGGGGGATATTGTCATACAACGACGCATTGATGGTTCGGAGGATTTCTTCCGACCATGGGCTGATTATAAAAAGGGATTTGGCAATAGTTCTGGAGAGTTTTTCATTGGCCTGGATAAATTGAATAAACTCACCAATTCCCGTCCCTATGAGCTGCTGATTCTTATGGAAGATTGGGAAAATGATAGTCGTTTTGCCAGATACGATCAATTCATAATTGGCAACGAAGCTGAGAAATATGTCCTCAAGGAGTTGGGTAAATACAGTGGTTCCGCTGGAGATGCCTTGGGCTATTCCTTGGGTCAGAAATTCACTACAAAGGATCAAGATAATGATGTTTGGAATAAAAATTGTGCTGTTGAATTTACCGGCGCCTGGTGGTATAAGGATTGTCACAGGAGGTGAGATGACTACTATTTGTTATTTTTTTTTATTATTGACTATCAATTTTTTGTGGTTTCTTATTGTTCTGGTAGCAATCTCAATGGCCGTTATATCAAAGGCGGCAACACCACTGTCTTTGCCCAAGGTGTTGATTGGTATCCATGGAAGGGACATTATTATTCGTTGAAATTTGTTGAAATGATTTTACGTCCCACATAGAAAGGACAATTTATGCACATAAACTACAAATATAAATTCTTAAATAACGAAATAAATGTGAATTTGAAAATATTGCTTTATGACAATAAAAATAGATTTCAAGATAATGGCAAAACAGTGTTGACATTTTGTTTGTGATATTTTATTGTTGGAATATAATTAAAACAAGTAAAAAAGTAGTAAAGTTCAACTTTTAATACCATCCATGGGTATTACATTATTTTCTTTGGGTATGTGTGTGTCTTGTTTTGAATAAAAAATAAAATCATAAATAAAATAATAGGCAACACATTGTAAAATTTTAGGATAAAACTGAATTGCCCCACTAGTTTCTTTGAAGTTGAGCAACCTTTCTTATTGGGCCATGATAACCTCCACCATTTTCAAAGGGTCTTGAAATTTTTCAAAAAAATCCGTCGAACAATACCACTTAAATGAAAACCGTTATATGGGGTCAGTACGAAGATGTGGACCTGCAGAAGTAATTTCATAGGCTATAGTACCGATTCCGAACTTTAAATACGAAATTTGAAACAATTCTGTTAAAAAATGTCGGTAATATCATCAAATTTGAAAAAATTCCGGTAAAACATGTTGATAATATCATCAAAATACCGAATAAATGTAGGTACCGTTATCTGTTGCTCTACGAAGACATGGACCTGCATGGACAATTTTCCGTCATAGGTTGTAGTACTCATTACGAGCTCATTACTTTCAATACGAAATTTAAAATAATTCCGGTCAAAAATGTCGCTAAAATAATCAATACACAGAATATCGGGCGGTATCGTTATATGAGTGCTAAGTGATATCGTTGACCCATGTATACAATTCTCCTCCATGGGCTACAATACTCAGAAGGAACTTTTTGTGTGGATTTTCAGACAATTCTATTGAAAAATATGGCTATAGTATATATGGACCTGCATAGACAATTTTCTGTCACAGACTGTAGTTCCCATTACAGACTCTAAATACGTAATTTGAAACTACTCCGGTAAATAGTGACCCTAAAATGTTTAAAATACCGAATATTGGGAGGTACCGTTATATGGGGGCTATATGAAGACGTGGACCTACATAGACAATTTTCTGTCACAGGCTGTAACATCCATTACGAACTTCAAATACCAAATTTAAAACAATTCCGGTGAATAATGTCACTAAATCGTCAAAATACCGAATATCGGGAGGTACTCTTATATGGGGGCTATAACAAAACATGAACCTACGTGACCCATTTTCAATACCAAAAGTCCTGCAGACAATACAGACAGACAGGCGAATAGACGGACAGACATCGCTAAATTGACATACAAATGTATAAAAATGTATAAAATGTATATTTCGAGGTGTTACAAACGGAATGACAAATTTATTATACCCTCCACACTATGGTGGAGGGTATAAAAATGGAATGTCAAAACGGTTATTACTTGAGATAAAAATAGAATATCAAAATAAAAAAGTTTGACGGAAGTTACAAAATCTTCAGTTGATTCAGGGTAATATAATGAAGGTAATTTCATGCAATCATTACCAAAAAATTAAATTCAGAGCTGGATATTAGTTACTTAAAATACTCCTACCATAAGTTGATTTAACATTCACCTAATTCGGGTAGACAAAATTGGACCCATGGTAGAACTAAGAAGGTAAAGTTATGCAATCATATGTTTACAATTTTTTTTTCAAATTTATACATTTGACAACATCAAAATTTGTCAACATTTATGTTAATAAATCCATTGTATACACACAAAATCAGAGATGGGAACTTTTTTATTCATTGAAATTTGACAAAGTAAATTACGGAAAATGCAGAGCTGGGAATGCTAATTGTAAATGAGGTTACCTTTATTCCTTTGTACCATGATTGGACCTTATATTTCAAATTGGGCGAGCGTTTATGTTGAAGAGAAGGACAAATATCTCGGTACTCGATAGCGAGTACCGAGTTCGTCCTTTTTGGCCCGTGCGACAGCCTACGACAAAAATGTTTGTATGCAGGTCCACGTCTTCGTATAGCCCCCATATGACGGTACCTCTCCATACTTGGTATTTTTATGATTTGTGCGATTCATATCAAATTTCAGATATTTTTCTCTATCAATACCAAATTAGTACCATTTAGTACTTTTCGTACAATAATAGTGCACAATTTCGAAACCACCTCGATATGTCATCCAGCACCAAATTTAGTACCATTTCGTACTTTTCGTACAAATATGGGATGCATTTCCAAACCTCCACCAAATCTTAAACACAGACACCATCAGTAATCTAAATATCAAATTTCAGATCTTTATTTCTATCCCTTCACTCAATGCTAAATTTAGTACCATTTAGTACTTTTCGTACAATTATGGTGCACATTTTCGAAACCACCTCCATAGGTCAGGGTACGCATAAACAGCGACAACCATGTATGGGATAAAGACATATGTGGGAGCTATATCCAAACCTGATCCGATCTCGATAAAATTTGACAGAGGCATTTATAGGCTATAGCTATATCTGAACCGATTTTTAAATTTGATGTACTTGTTTGTAGGATGAATTATGTTGGAATTTCCAGGATTCAGTTCATTTGGACTGATATTGGCCATTTGGTGCATTATTAACCCGAAATCGGTTGAAAATAAATATGGAAGCTATATTTAAATTTACACCGAAATTTACACCAATTTCAATAGGGATCTTCTTTGGACCAAACAAATATTGTTTGGAAATTTTCATCTCAATCGGATAAGTGCGACCTACATTTTGTTCACAGATGATTCCATGAAGATCCTCAAAAGTAACAATGGGTCTTTCTCGCTTCCTTCTCCATGTTACAATCAAATGCACAAATCCATTTTAGGGAAAAACAGGGAAAAATCAATGCCCAAGACAAAATTTGACAATTTATTTTAATTATTATTTGCGATTTATTTTGTAAAAGCTAATCATTTATATAAAATCCCTTGCTACTTTTAACTATTTTCCGGCAATAATGAGAAGAGATTTTTTCTATACTCCCCTAAGGACATTTTTCGGCTTATATCTGTAGAAAAACCCTCGTTCTTTCATGTTATATTGATCTGAGTAGGTGTTTCCTTAACATGAGTAGCATTGTACAGGAGTCAAGATAGAACTTTATAAGCCTTATGTCAGGTGTAATTTTAATTAAGACCCAACCTATCCAAACTCTCTGAAATATTTCCCTTCAAAATTTACACATTTTAGACCATATTTACTTCAATAAAATGCAACATTCCAGGCCCAGCGCCTCCGCCATGCTTTACGGCAATTTGGGAATATATATTGGTATATGTTATATCCTCCACCATAGTATGGAGGGTATATTAAGTCTGCCATTCCGTTTGTAACACCTTGAAATATACATTTTAGACCCCACAAAGTACATATATTCTTGATTAGCATAAAATTCAATGCCGATTACGATATCCGTCCGTCTCTCCGTCGTTGAAAATCACTCTAGCTTCCGAACGATATGAAGTAGGTTGATAAAATTTTACTCAAATGTGTATTATGTCTGCAGGACTTTTGGTATTGAAAATGGGTCAGGCCAAGTGGACCTGCACTTTTTGGTATAGCCCCCATATAATGGTAACTCCCTTTTTTCGGTATTTTGGTGATTAAAGCGACACTATTCAGCGGAAATGTTTCAAATTTGGAATTTGAAGTTCGTAATGGGTACTACAGCCTATGACAGAAAATTGTCTGTGCAGTTCCACGTCTTCGTATAGACCCCATATAATGATACCTCCCGATATTCGCTATTATGATGATTTTGGCAACATTATATACCGAAGTTGTTTCCAATTAGGTATATGAAGTTCGTAACGGATGCTACAGCCTATGACAGAAAATTATTTGTGCAAGTCCACATCTTCATATAGCCCCCCTATATCACTGTACCTCCCGATATTCGGTACTTTGATGATTTTAGCGACATTGTTCACCGGAATTGTTTCAAATTTGGAATTTGAAGTTGGTAGTGGGTACTAAAGCCTATGACCGAAAATTGTTTGTGCAAGTCCACATCTTCATATAGCCCCCATATAACGGTACCTTCCGATATTCGGTATTTTGAAGATTTTAGCGACATTATTCAGCGGAATTGTTTCACATTTGGCATTTGAAGTTCGTAATGAATACTACTGCCTATGACAGAAAATTGTCTGTGCAGGTCCACGTTTTCGTACAGCCGCCATATAACGGTACCTCCCTATGTTCGGAATTTTGATTATTTTAACTACATTATTCGCCGAATTTTTTTTATTCAAGTTGTGCATTTGGTATACGGTATTTTTAAGATTTTAACAGAATTTTTAAAGGATTTTTTTTTTTTTGAAAATTGACAAAATCGTTCCAAATGGTCGAGGATATTCAATTTGTTTTAGTTTTTAAGTTATTTCGTTATTCAATCAATGTTGGCCAATTCTCGCCGGACTAACAAACATGCCAGTTATATACTTTAATTGTTTTGAGAAGCTAAGAAATGGGCTACTTGTGCCAATTTCTACTTGCATCTTCCTCGCCAAATTTCCGTTGATAAAACTTACATATTCGTTGATATTTATACGATGTATTTCAAACTGATTTGAATATTCATTAAAAATATAATACATCTTCCAAATTCGACAACCCTAAGTGGGTCGTAAAATCATTTCAACAAATTTCATAGAATAATAATCCCCTTTTAATGGCTGCCAGACCACTCCTTTGCCATATTGCGTTGTGGTACCCTGTAGATAACGACCGTTAAGATTGCTGAAACACAAATTTTGAAAAATTAACAAATTTCCTCCTTACGTTTTTTAAAAGACATACCTTCTATGACATTTCTTATACCACCAAGCCCCAGTATATTCAACCGCACAACTATTTACCGACATATCGTTATCTTGATCTTTTGTACTGAACTTCTGACCCAATGAATAGGATAAACCATCTGTGGCGGAGCCACTATATTTACCCAATTCTTTCAAGACATATTTCTCAGCTTCGTTGCCAATTATGAATTGGTCATACCTCGCAAAGCGACAATCGTTTTCCCAATCTTCGATGATAATGAGCAACTCATAGGGACGGGAATTGGTGAGTTTGTTCAATTTATCCAGGCCAATGAAAAATTCTCCAGAGCTGTTACCAAATCCCTGTTTATAATCTGCCCACGAGCGAAAGAAATCCTCCGAACCATCCATGCGCCGCTGTATGACAATGTCACCCGACTTTTTAGTATTCTCTCGAATCTCTTTAACACTCGACTCCAGTTTTTGTATTTTCTCTAGAATTCCGCTAATTTGAGGATTTTCATTTAAACATTCCGTTAAATTCTTTTGAGTTTCCTCTAATCTTTTATGGGTATGGAGAAAACTTTCTTCCAGCTCATTTAGTTTTCCGTGAATATCAAAGAGGATCAACGTTTCATTTTTTTGTGATTGTTCCAGCTAACATGTAAATGTCGGAGAAGCTTTAAAAGTAATTTATCGATTTTAGAAATAAAAACATTTTCATCTTTACCTCTTCCATTTGAATTCCATTCAAAATATTTAAAAATATTAAAGAAATTGCAAATACTTGTGATTTTGTTGAGATTCCCATATTTGCGTCCGGTCCGTTTGGTTTACTTTCGTGCAATGTTTTAGAAAATGAAAGAGTATTAAGAGATTGCAGCTGGTTCTTTATTTTTGCTTCTCGACGACATGAAACAGTTCCCCGGTTTAACCCACCGGTTCGCCTATTTTCGTTACTCAAATGTGGAATAAAAATTGTTTTGCACAAGATAACGTTACGATAATTGTGTTTCTCAGCTTCCGATCCAAAGCCAGTATCAGCATGCTTAAGAATCTTTCGAAAGCAAGTTTAGAAAAAATATACACGAAAACAATAAAAAAGAGCTTTAATTTTGGCCTTGTCGAACTCTTGAAACTCTACACTCTGCAAAAACTTATTACAAGGTCAGTTTTTTAAAAGTGCCTAAACCATCCAATCGTTTCAAAGGTATGTTTAAGATTTTCACAATCGCTGTCAAAATATGAAATTACTGACACCGCGCTTGATGCAGCACCTTAAAGACCCCTAATTTCGATCGATGCCCTTCTATGAAGCTTATGTCTCGATATTAAGGCAGAAACATGCTAAATACTTTAAATCTGGAGGTATAGAGGCTCTAGTAGACATATTTCAATTCCTTAAATAATTACGGGGAAAATTCAGCCGATTCTAAAAGAGCTAAAAAAGAAGACACGTGTATCAATAACCAAGAGGTGGGGTGGGGTATGTTCACTCCTCTTCCACACTTTTGAAAATTTTAGGATAAAGATTCCTCGGAATATGTGCATTTTATGTATATACAGGGTGAGACAAACGCCATAATCTTTACCTTTTTTAAATTTTATTAAATGAGAGCAAAAAAGATCGGAAATAGAATCAAATTTTAGAATAAGTTTAGTTTTGTTCGAATTGTTTACCTTCGCCACGAATTATGGCCTTCAAACGGCCAATGAAACAGTCACACGTTGCCCGAATGTTGCTCTGCGGTATTTTGGCCCATTTTCGGCGAAGCGCTTGCTTCGTTTGGCCGAAAGTGGTGAACTGCCGAGTTTGGTTTTCTCCGATGAGAAAACATTCGTTGTCTGACAGTTTGTAAACAAACAAAATGATCGTGTTTACTAGCCAAAGAGGTCAGCTGAAAATGTGCACCTTTGGTTGGCCATCAGAACTCAAGAGCCGGCCATGGTGATGGTGTGGGCCGCCATAACAGCCGATGGTCGCTCTCCGCTCGTATTAATCGACCGTGGCATTGGAATTAATGCCGAATATCATGGCGGAAATATTCTGGAGGGTGTATTAAAGCTTTGGGCAAGCATTCCAACAGGACTCAGCACCATCGCACTCAGCACGCGCCACCAAAGAATGGTTACAAAATGAGGTTCCTCGCTTCATTTCCAGCGCACAATGGCCACCAAAATCTCCGAATACTAATAGTCCAACTATTGTGTCTGGAGTATTTTGGAAAGTAAGGTTGGCACTAAAAAATATCAAAGTGTCGATCACCTCAAACAAGCGATTCGCGGGGAATGGGCCAAAATGCCACAGAGCAACATTCGGGCAGCGTATGACGGTTTCATTGGCCGTTTGATCGCCATCATTTGTGCCAAAGGTGATCAATTCGAACAAAACTAAGCTTGTTCTAAAATTTGATGCTATTTCCGACATTTTTTGCTCCCATTCAATAAAATTTAAAAAAATGTAAAAAATATGGCGTTTGATATTGTTTCAGTTTTTTATTTCACCCTGTAGATGTATTCCTGACGTTTAGGTAAGGTTTAGGCTCTTGACATCTTGTAGAAGCTATAGTATAGTTTTGTAAAATATCGATCTCGTTAAAAGTGTGATTTTAACCACATTTTAAACAAGTATAGAAAGTCTTAAAGTCGGGCGGGGCCTACTTTATGATACCCTACACCACTTTGCTAATTTAGTAGAGCCCCGCATAACAATTTAAAGTTTTTATGGGAGAATTCAATCATACACGCTATGATTATAATTATAATTTAAAGTTCAAAAGACTTAATATGCCGAAGCATTTGTATCTTTTAAATTCGGACTTGTATTGGCCATTTGATATATATGGGAGCTGTATCCAGCTATTATATTTCTCTGAATATCGTTGTTACGGAGTGCATATTACGGTTGTGGGTAACAAATATAACAATTCGGATGAACAGTATATATGGGAGCTATAGCTATATCTGAACCGATCTTCACCAAATTTGATATACTAGCTTCTAGACTCAATTCTGTCGTAAGTTCCAAATGCCCATTTGGACAAATATTAGACGTTTGGTTCACAATAAAAGGTAAATCGGACGAGGTTATATATGGGAGCTATATCCAAATCTGAACCGATCTCGATAAAATTTGGCAAATGTATTTCTGAGCTGTATTTAATATATTTCCCCAAATATTGTTGTTAAAGAGTGCATATTACGGCTGCGGAGGACAAAAATAACAAATCGGATGAACAATATATATGGGAGCTATATCTATATCTGAACCGATTTCGATCAAATTTGGCATTATTATTTTCAGGCCTAATTTGGTTGTATGAGCAAAATTTCATACTATTCGGACTGATATTACACGTTTAGTGCACAATAAAAAGCAAATCGGACTAAGGTATATATGTGGTATATATATCTAAATTTTGACCGATTATCTCCAATTTCAATAGAGTTCGTCCTTGAGCCAAACAAATGATTTGTGCAAAATTTCATCTGGATAGGGCAATAACTGCAGACTGTACTTTGTTTACAAAAATACATGGACAGACGGACAGACAGACTCAGAATGTGATTCTATGCAGATCATCAAAAGGAACTATGGGTCTATCTCGTTTCCTTTTGCCTGTTACAAAGAAATGCTCAAAGACATAATACCCTGACAACCTTGTGGTGTAGGGTATAAAAAGGACCAAAAAAACGCTTTGTTGACCCTGTCGAGGATTAAAATATACCTATCTATATCTATAAAAGAGGAAAATGTTTGTATGTTTGTTTGTTTGTTTGTTTGTTTGTAATTTATGGACTCGAAAACCGCTGAATAGATTTTCCTGAAAATTTCCATATATACGGCAACATCGCCTGAAAGTAACATAGGCTATATACATTTTTGAATTTCCACTTGGAACTGGAGATATAGCATCAGAATCGGAGGTACCTCCCAAAAATTTAGATTTTATATGCACATATCTATTGATTGGTTGAAGATACAGTCTCTAAATTTGGAATACGTAACGGAATTTGGAACAAAAATAAGTTTGCCAAATTATATTGTAATCGGTTCAGATTTGAATATAGCTCCCATATATATTTTCGACCGATTTCGTTCATTTGATGCCTCAAACACAATATGAATGTTCGATTCCAATGAAATTTGGAATGTGTGACGGGATTTAATCCGAAAATAAATTTGTCACATTATATTGAAATCGGTTCAGATTTGGATATAGCTCCCATATATATTTTCGGCCGATTTCAAGCATTTGATGCACCAAACACGCTATGTATCCCCAATTTCAATGAAATTTGAAACGTGTGATAGATTTTATCTAAAAAATTGATTTCCCAAATTATATTGAAATCGGTTCAGATTTGGATATAGCTCCCATATACATTTTCGGCCGATTTCATGTATTTGGTGGACCAAACACGACATGTATTTCCAATTGTAATGAAATTTAAAATAAGTAACGGAATTGGGAACCAAAATGAGTTTGTCAAACTAAATTGAAATCGGTTCAGATTTGGATATTGCTCCCATATATATTTTCGACCGATTTCATGTATTTGATGCACCAAACACGCTATGTATCTCTAATTTCAATGAAATTTGGAATGTGTAGCGGAAATTAAAACAAATATACATTTGTCAAATTATATGAAAATCGGTTCAGATTTGGATATAGCTCTCATATATATATATATTCGACCGATTTCATGTATTTTATGCACGATATGTATGTTCGATTCCAAAGAAATTTGGAATATGTAACGGGATTTTGATTAGAAAATAAATTAGTCAAATTATATTAAAATCGGTTCAGATTTGGATATAGCTCCCATATATATTTTCCGCCGATTTCACATATTTGATGCACCAAACACGATACGTATTTCCGATTCCAATGAAATTCGGCATGAGTGGCTAAATTTGGTACAAAAATAAATTTGACAAATTATATTCAAATACGCTCAGATTTGATTATAGCTCCCATATATATACTCAGCCGATTTCACATATTTGATGCACCCATAGCGAGAGAGACAAAATCTGGCACCAGAAAAAATTGCCAAATTATATTGGAATCACCACACATGATATATATGACCGATACCAATGAAGTTCAGAATGTGTGGCGGAATTTGGTTACAATAATAAATGTATGTGTAAAATTAGTTAAGATTTGGATATAGCTCCCATATATATATTATCGGCCGACTTCACATATTTGACGCACCAATTTCAATGAAATATGAAAGGTGTGGCGGAATTTGGTGTAAAAGTAATTTTTTAAAATTATATTTAAATCGGATCAGATTGGGATATGATTTTAATAAGAACCATTGACCCACAACGCCTTAGGCTAACACAAAAAAACAACACAACAATTGATTTGAAATACACTTATTACGGCGAAGTATGTTGCTATCTCGAATTCACTAATTGCAATAGAAATGCCACTCAACTTCAAAAGATTGCAGTTTACTGCACGCTTGGTATTTGCTATGAAATAAATAAATCCGAAGGACAAACATTTCGTGTATGTATGTCATGTTACTGCTTTTCTAATGGTTTTGGTTATTTACGCTTGAAGTCGTGCAATAATTTTTTTTTAATTTTTAAATTTGTTTTTTTTTAACCAACATATATTCGTAAATAAAAATTTGAATGCATATAAAATCAAAAGGGGTAGCGAAGCGCACCGGGTACAGCTAGTATACCTATATACCTAAAATGCACATATTCCGAGTCTTAATTCGACAAGTGTTGAAGGGGGTGTATTTGAATTACCCTATTTAGGCTACTTTGCGACGAAAACTTTTAAAACGTCGCTTTTCTTAGCTTTTTATAATCAGCTGGATTTTCCCCGTAATTACTGTTTTTGTTGCACAGTGTAATTCTTTGCTATCCTTTTTACCTTATCTTTTTAAATTTTTGTTTAAATCCAAGGTGGAATATTGTGGTTCCTTTAAACAAATTTTCTTAAAAAAATCAACAATTTTTTAATTGTAACATAAAATTAGATTTTTTTATAAATATAAATACAGTTAATTGTTTCTATTAAATAAAAAAAATGTTCTGTTTAAGAAACGCCTAATTATGTTGCCTTTTTTGCTATCCAACGAACCTTGCAAACACTCTCGAAACCAAGTTTATGATGTAAAGCCTTGGATCCCTCATTTTCATCCGCAACAATTGTGATTAAATCCAAATTATGAATAGCCAAGAGTCGTTTTAGTTCCAGTTTCAACATCATTCGTCCATAACCATGACCCCGTTCGGCTTCCATGGTATAAAGGAATCTACAATGAATATAATGGCACATTTCAACAAAAATAAATTGAATGTTAACGAATGTTGTCTTACCCTGGATTGAGAAATTCATTCGTAGATATCCACGAAATGGGCTGTTCCATGCCACGGCGAAAGAGACCAATGCCACCATTGAATTCAATACATCTACGAATCAATTCCAAAGAATTTGCATGTCTCATAAACCAGTGGGTATCTATCACTTCCGTGTGTTTTTCTGGGTTCAATGGGGCCACATAGAGATCACCGGGTAGTTTTCTATAAAAAGCAAATATTATGAATATTTAAAATTTACATAAAAATCAAATCTAAAAAAATGCTCACTCATTTATTTCAAGTTTGGCAATTTTATCCTTGGTTATTAACATGGCATGCTCATGGCTGGGAAACATCCACTCGTCGGGTGGAATCTTTTGGCAGGCAACATTTTTCACCATCTCATAGAGATTTTCATCGCACATTAGCAACAAATTATAATTTTTCCAATTGATACGATTTGTTGACTCCAGACATTCTTTTAGTTCCGTTTGAGATTCTTGCAGGGTGAAACAAATTAGAAAGTAATCCTATAAATTGACGCAAATAATAATGGAAAATAAGTTATTGTCTTAAGAAAGGAATTGCAAATTGTAAACTACGTAATATGAGAAAAAGTATGTAAATATCTAAAACTCTACAATGTTGCCTTCATTAAATGTTTTGATAAAATCAATTATTTTAACTCCGATAATCCTAAAGAAAATATTCTGTGAACATTTCAGAATAGTCGTTCTAAAATCGAAAAAAATAAATTTCCCAAAATAACACTAAGCAACACAAAATAAAAACAAGTAAGCAAAGGCTACAGTCGAGCGGGGCCGACCGTTGAATGCCCTACAACACTATAATAAACGATACAGTTTATATAGACGAGAAACTCGAAAGAATTTCACAAGATATTGTGACAAATCATAAAAGAAAGCCATCAGGTTTCGTTCTCTAATTTTCGAATAATAGCAACTTAAACTAACTTGCTTATTTCCAATTTATTGGTAGATGTTGCACGTAAATGGTCTTCCTAGATCTGGAACCAATATTTCCCAAAGACCTATAATCTCTCAGAAGTGGCAAAAGATTAACATTTCAACGAAATCAGCGTTAACGAAATAGTCAGAATAGTCAGAAGTGCGTCTTTCCAGTATTTGTGAATTCTCCAAAAAGTCACTGGAATGGACATTTTCGTATTTAGTCTACAAAAGTTTGCAAACTATTTCACACATTGAATATTTTTGGATGGCCATCCAAAACTGCTTGGCTTTTGCAATGTCCGGTAACCCCATTCAAGTGTGCGTGGGGATCGGGCGATAATTACGACCTACTGACAATTTTGCATAAGAGATCTTTCAAGCATATCTTCTTTGATAGACACATATATATAGCACATATTTTGCTATATATCCGATTTGTTGGATGTTAACATCAATGTAAAGGATCAGAAGTAACCTTGTCATGGCATTGTGATTTCGTCGGGATTTAAAATATTCGCGGTTTAATGAAAAATTTTGAATTTTTTCAACATTTATTTTACCCGCTAAATATTATTCGATGGCCACCCATATTAGTAGGCTTCTTCCCCGCCCTAAACTCTAGCTACATGTGAAATTCCGCGTCGATTGGTCTATAATTGCGACCTGTATTGCTACTGCAAAATCCGACATATTTTCAGTATTTGGTCCATTTCAACCCCTAAACATTTGGCGATCATCTCCAAAAGAAATAGGGTTCTATTCTTACCCTAACCCTACCTTCGTGCAAAATTTCGTAAGGATTGGGCCATAATTGCGACCTGTGCCGTGATTACAAATTAACATGGACAGACGGACGGACGGACATACAAAGCTAGATCGACTCAGCTCGGCGAGCTAGGAAGATCCATATATACTTTCCTATATGGAAAACCAATATTTCGAGGTGTTACATAAATTCTGGCCCAATCAAACTTATAATACCCCCAACACATAGTGTTGTAGGGTATAAAAACAGTAGGGAATGGTCAAAAGTCGGGCGGGGCCGACTATATGACGCCTACACTACTATGCGTATTTAGCGGAAGTAGATCATACCAATTATGAATCGCATTTGAATGCATTAGAGTAGTCGTGGCTTTAGAATAGTCACAATTTGGGAACTATATCCAACTCTGATCTAATTTTCAACAAATTTGACGGAGGCCTTTGTACCTCAATAAGGATTATATATAAAAATATTTATTGGAGCAATAGATATACCGGACCTAGTTTCATCAAATGGTAAAATTCGGTTGAATATGAAATAAGTAAAAAGAAGCTAAGTTCAGGCGAGCCGAACTTTTAATACCCTTCACCGTTTCGAAGGAATTTGAAAAGTTTGAAAGAAATTTAGTTCTCATTACGAGCATCAAATACCAAATTCGAAATAATTCCCGTAAATAATGTCGCTAAAATCATGAAAAATTTCGCAGAGGTATGTTCGAGCTTTACCTGATGTCCGGTATCAAATATCATTGTTATGGAGTGCATATCACGCGTGTGGGGGACTTCAACGCCAAATCAGATGAAACATATATATGGGAGCTATAGCTTTATCTGAACCAATTTTCACCAAAAAATGGAGAACTTTTTTCTGGGCATGATTCCGTCGGAAGTGTAAAAATTCACTCCATTTGAGCTGATGTTAGCCATTTGGAGCACAATAAATCTGAAATCGGATGGGAGATATATAAGGGGGCTATATCTGAACTGATCTTCACATAATTTTAAGCACTGATATCTGCGCTGTATCTGATATATGGTACCAAAGATCATTGTTGTAGAGTGCATATTACACATATGAGGGAGTTAAACCCTAAATCGGATGAAATATATATCTGAACCGATTTTCACAAAAAATTGAAGAAATTGGTTCTGGGCTGAATTCCATCGGAAGTCCATTTGGGCTGAAATTAGCCATTTGGTGCACAATAAAACTAAAATCGGATGAGACATATATATGGGAGCTAAATCCAAATCTCAACTGATCTTCACAAAATGTCAAGCACTTGTTTGTGAGCTGTATCTGATATCTGTTACCAAAGATTATTGTTGTGGAGTGCATATTCACCAAATATTTGAACCGATTTTCACCAAATTTGAAGTACTTATTTCTAGAATGAATTCAGTCGGAATTACCAAAATGCTGGTCCATGTTAAAACCCCTTACCACTATGTGGTATAGGGTATAAATACTGGACAAATCCAGTAGATTATGAAATTAGAGCTGAAAATAGAAGAAATGTGTAACGGCTTTTAGGAAGTTTATAACGTAAGGTAACCTCTTGCACATTATTTTAATATTTTCGTATTCGGCAATATTGCTGGTAAAAATACGAGAATTATATTAGTAGAAAATGTTAACCCTCTAGTGAGTCAGCAAATAATTATTGTTAGTCCTTTTTTTTGAAAATATGGTTAGTGCTAGGCCAGGTGTGAAACTTAATAATAATAACCGCCCACTCAATCAAGTACATCCCCCAAAGGGTCAAAATTTTTAATAATTGCAACTCTTATCAAATATGAAATAAAATTACGATTTTCTTCGAAGTTTACATTTTCCAATATTTCTGTCAATATAAGATTTGGTGAAAATATGGAATATATCGAACCACTCCTTCTTTTACCTCTCCCACAAAGGATCAACATTTTGGCTATTTATAACCCTTGCAACATGCAAAACAAGTCAGCGATACTCTTTAAACTAATTATATCTTAATGTTTGACTAAACTCGAGAGCTGATGTGAATGTGGAATTTTTTGACCCTCTCCTACCCTCTTACAAATAAGTCATACAATTAAAAATAAAAATAATTCGCACAATGCAACACCTTTATTTACATTAGTTCTAGTGTGAATATGGAATTCATCGGCCCATTCATTCAAGTATCTCCCCCACAAAGAGTAAAATAATATTTAATATTTCTATAAGCCATAGAGGTAATGTAAATATGGAATATGTCGGTCCACACTATGATCACGAATAAAATAGATCGTTATAGTCTAGACATGGCACGTCTGTAACATAGAGAAGAAAACATAATATACCCATAGTCCCTTTTAAAGAATCACATTCTGAGTCGATTTATGCATTCCCGTACGTCTGTTCTTGTAATTTTGTGAATTTATAATCCGATTGAGATTAAATTTTTCCAAACAATATTTGTTTGGCCCAAGGACGAGTCCTATCGAAACTGGTGAGAATCGGCTCAAATTTATATATAGTTCCCATATATATCTTTAACCGATCTCGGGATAATCAAAATATCATTCAAAGTAGGCATTTATTGGCCGATCGAAATACAATTTTTAACAAATCATTTTTTTGAGCCCAGGACGAACCCTACTATTTTGGTGATAATCGGTCAAAGTTTAGATATAGCCCCCATATATATTTTCTTCCGATTTTCTTTTTATTGTGTACCGAATGTGTAATATTAGTCCAAATAGGAAATTTGCCACATGCGACCAAATTGAGCCTAGAAATAAGTAACACCACGTTACACCCGTAATATACTCTCCATTTGGTCCCAGCTATCAGATACAGCATGTAAATACCTCTGCTAAATGTTATAGATATCGGCTGGTATTTAGATATAGCTCTCAGATCACTATTTAAACTTCTCAATTGTAGCACCAAAATTTCGATACAGGTTCTAATTACGACATTTGTTTGTTCTTAAAAATACATTCTGCAAACGAGTTTGCATTTTGGTCAGCTAGCTATCATGACATGTCTTATTAACATTTTGGACGACCCGGACATATTTCTCCAATTTTATCTTTTCTAATGATTTAGGGTAACAAAAGTTCCACACGACCAAATTTAATGCTTTTTGTTGAGTTTGCAAATCTACCTTTATGTCTGAAAACCTATATGCACATGTATGTATTTTGATACTTACTCGATAACCATTGATTGTAATCAATGTACAATTATTCGGATCTCCGCTACGATGTGTATAGAATCGAACATTCCAACGATCCGATTTCAGATCATGGCGATTGTTGTTTATGTTGTCATAATGATAAAGATAACTGCGAATGAAATTGTGCTGCTGGGTACGACGCGGTAAGAGGGGCTTGAGCACAGCCAGCATGGCCTCCAATTGGGGTTTGGTACATTCCACTAAAACGTCAGTGTCACACATCTTGACCAGCACAATTCGGGGTGAACAACTTAAATAGGAAACAAAATTAAGAAAGAAAAAAACTGGCAACCTTTCTATTTGATGTCTGCCAAGAGACTAAATGACGTTCTGTCTAGAGTTCTTCAACAGCTACAAACTAATGTAGAATATCATTGCCTAATTATCTACCTGAAATCTTCTAATCAGTCATTCATAGAGGAGAGGTAATAAAATGTGTGTAAACAAATGTGTGGGTGTGTGCGAAAAGTTGATAATGCAAAACTGCTTTCTCAGTCTGACTGACACCGGGGTAGTTTGCAGACAATAAACCGATTTTAAATTGCATTTACCTGCACTTTGTTCGAATATTCATATTTACAATATTTATTTCAAAAACTGCCCTTAAAATGATTTAGTATCTAAAAATACAAAGGAAAATTACAGAAGGAACAGAAGTTGTGGAAAATTCCAACAGGGGATTAAAAATCAATCATTTCTTTTCGAGCAAAAAGAACCATACCAAAGGCTGACATAAACCGGGGAAGTTTATTGTGGCATCTATTTTATGGAAATGCTAACATGATATTCGACATCACGTTGTGACATTGTGTATTTGTCTTGGGGTAATATGATTAATCACAATATGACACTTTTGTCACCCTCCACGTTAGAAAGGGGTGGTATACTAAGTTTGTCATTCCGTTTGTAACACCCGATATATAGAGACCACACAGAGTAGGTGAGATAAAAAAAAAAAACTGCAACAAAGTCAAAGGCCATAATTTTTACATTTTTTTACATTTTATTGAATGAAAGCAAAAAATGTCGGAAATGGCATCAAATTTTAGAATCAGTTTAGATTTGTTCGAATTGGTCAGCTTTGGCACGAATTAAGGCCTTCAAACGGCCCATGAAATCGTTACACGCTGCCCGAATGTTGCTCTGCGGTATTTTGGCCCATTCCCGACGAAGCGCTTGCTTGAGGTGATCGACACTTTGGTATTTTTTAGTGCCAACCTTGCTTTCCAAAATAATCCAGACGTAATAGTCCAACGGATTGGTATCCGGAGATTTTGGTGGCCATTGTGCGCTGAAAATGAAGCGAGGAACCTCATTTTGTAACCATTCTTGGGTGGCGCGTGCTGAGTGCGATGGTGCTGAGTCGTGTTGGAATGTCAAAGGTCTGTCGCCAAAATGTTTGCGTGCCCTCCAGAATATTTTCGCGATAATATTTGGCATTTATTCTGACGCTACGGTCGATTAATACGAGCGGAGAGCGACCATCATCTGCTATGGCGGTCCACACCATCACCATGGCCGGCGTTTGAGTTCTGGTGGACAACCGAAGGTGCACATTTTCAGCTGACCTCTTTTGCAAGTCAACATGGTAATTTTGTTTGTTTACACACTGCTGGACAACGAATATTTTCTCATCGGAGAGTTCTCAAATTCGGCAGTTCATCACTTTCGGCCAAGCGAAGCAGCTCCTTAGCTCTATTGAGTCTATTTTCTTTACGTTGCTGTGTAAGTTCTTGCACGGTCCATTTTTTTCGGCAACTGCGACGCGGGTTTCGATAAAGTCTCTTCCTTAATTTTCGAACCATTTCTGCTGATGTTGCTGTGTTCTTCCGTCCCCTTCCTTGACGTCGGGCTACGCTACCAGTATCAGGGTAACGAGCAATGGTACGAGACACAAAAGATTTATTCACATTTAAATGCTGGAGTGCTCTAACGATAGCCACTTGTGGTTTTCCAGCCAAATATAAAGAAATCACACTATCACGCTTGAATTCCATTACGAATAACTTTTTCTCTGGAAAATTGTCACCAAAATGTTTTTGTACGCTCGTAAACAATACAATGAGCTGTCACTGAAATAATTTTAACAGCTGTCGGACGAGTGGCTTAGAAATGACAGCACCCTGTAGTTGTACTCAGTTGTTCACAAAATCGGCCTAAGAACAAACTCTATTTAAATGTATTTAGTTTTGGTGAATCTATTTGGATGAGTTCAAATCGGTTCAGATTTATACATGCGTCTCATTAATAAATTCCTTTAAGTCGCAGCAAAATCAGGTGTGAAGTAATAAATTTGTAAAATTCTGACAGTTTTAGAATATGTTTCAATAATCAATAACCGGATGATGATTATTTATCTTTCTATATGGTAAAGTACTTCCTTTGAAAACGTTGGCATTTTGAGGGGAAGGTACATGAAGTGGCGGACCGATATTGCCCATCTCCGAACTCAATGTAAGTTTGGATTACATCGGATACTCCCTTCGAGAGTTTTCAACCGTTACCAATAAGACAAACGGACGCCGCTAGACCGGCTCTAAATATCCAGAAATGGATTTCGTCCTGAATGGATTAAACATACTTTTGAGTGCGGGTGTGGTGCTGGAAAAATTCTAACAATTAAAAATAAATATTCAGCGACATACAATCATAAAATCTTCACAGAGTTAATCCATATTCACGTTTATCATCGTTTAACTCTTAAAAGAAATTTTGGGATGAGCCAATTTTAAAAGAAATCGAATGCTCATTTCTTTTTTTTATGATCTTCAAGTCTTTTCAAAATTTTGACCCGTTATGGGGGACGTACCAGGAGGAGTATATCCCATCTTCAAACCAAATCCTTTGCTAATAAAAATTTTGGGATTGGGAAATTTGAAGTCAAGCGGATATTTATTTCATATTTTATCAAAGTGGGGGAGGTTTTTGATGGAGTGGGCACCTGACCCGACACTAATAAAAATATTAGGATTTGCAAAGTTTGACCAAAATTTGGACCATACTTTCTTGTTCTACACCGCAAATTATTTTCTGCGAAAACTTTGACCTTTTTTGTTGGAGGTACCAAAAGGAGTGGTCCGATATTGTCCATCTTCGAATTCAATTTAAGTTTTGATAATATTATAATGCAAGCCAGATAGACAGACAGGCGATAGGACGGATACCCTAGATCGACTTCAAATTTCCTGGAAAGGACTTTGTCCAAAGAGACTTAGGGTCTAAAATCGTTATTTCAACGAAACTCTTTTTGACCGTATCAAATGATATACCCTCTCTAGCCCCTATGACTTATGATATAAAAAGCTATTCACGTTTATCATATAAGCCGAAAATTTAATATGAGGAACACCCCAAAAACACTACACTGGGCTGTATCGTGATTTTAACAGTCAGACAGACGGACATCTTTAAATCAACGACGACATGGACCTGCATAGGCAACTTTTGTCATAAGCTATTACAATATTCAAATGCGAAACTTGAAAAAAAATCTGTGTATAATGTAGCTTATATCTTCAAAATACCGAATATCGGGGGTTATCATGGGGTTATACTAAAACGTGGACTTGCACAGACAATTTTCTGCCATAGACGGTAGTATCCATTATGAACTTCAAATACCAAATTTGAAACAATTCCGGTAAATAATGTCGCTAAAATCATCAAAATACCGAATATCGGGAGGTATCCATCGGGACAGAAAATTTTCAGTCATAGGCTGTATTATTTATTTCGAACTTCAAATACCACATTTGAAACATTTTCGGTAAATAATGTTGATAAAATCATCAAAATACCGAATATCGGGAGGTACCGTTATAAGGGGCATATACGAAAACGTGGGACTGCGCACGCAATTTTTTGTCATAGGCGAATTTTTGCATTACGAATTCTAAATACGACATTTGAATCAAAATACCGAATATCGGTAGTTACAAACGGAATGACGAACTTATATATACACTCCGTATATACACTCCTTATATACACTCCGTACTATGTATGTTGGAGGGTATAAAAACAAATGAGGTTAGCCGACAGATATATATCCTCAGCCGATTTACGTTTATTATATATACATTCTGACTTGCGCTATAATCATTCGAAATACTAATCCTTTATGCTGAGGCCCCATAGGAGTAAGTCAACAATGTTGGGTTCCCTTGGTATACGGTCAGAACTTATAAAGTCCTTAAAAAAGTTTAGCCTAAGATCTATTATAAAAACGGAATACTATCAAATCCACATGGATTCTTCCACATCCCAGACTGACTATTGGGCAGCGAAATTATAAGAAACAAAATGATGCGAATTCGGAGTAAGTGCCAAAAGCTTTGAATTCAATGAGAAATATTTCTGACTTTGACGTCGTGCTTCTTACACAATGACTTGTAGGATAATTTTATATAAATTCACATGAAGTTCGACATAAGCTCTGTGAGTTTTTAATATTTATGAATTCCTGTCTTTAAGATTACATATGGATGAATTATATGATGGATTCTGGGACCCATAGTAGAATTGTATGCATTTTTAATCAAAAGACGGAAAATTCCAATAATTTTGAATAGGGGGGAATTCGCTACCTCTAGACTTAGCTCTAATTTTATAACCCGCTGGGGTTTTCCTTGAATTATGAAAAAAAATTAATTTTGTCGCATAGGGTAATTATACATTAAAACAAAATTCGGTATTGAGTGTTGTTTATAACTTTATTCTTATAATATTTTTAGGAATTATGTTTTTTTATTGTAATTACTGTTTAATTTTATTTATTTTTCCTTTTGTTTTGCATTTTTCCAAAATATTGTACATAACTAAATGATTTGTTTTCAACAATTTTACTTAGAATCATTATTCTATTTCAACAATACTACTATGTTTGCGGGTGTTTGGTTGTGATTTAAAAATCCCTTTTTCAAAACAAAGGAAGACACTTGAGGTGCTAATTATTTTGCTAAGCTTTCGGACTAACATTAGATGTGCTAAAACAGCTATTTAGAATATTGTTTAATTTTATAAGAATATTTAAGTGTATTTTGTTTTGTTATTAATTTAAATTAAATTCCATTTTGTTTTGTCTTATTACTAGAGATAAAACAAAAAAATATATGAATAAGATATCTATAATTGTAGACCTGCTGGTGTATTTACATTTTCTTGTCACTATTTGAAAGCTTGGCTTGTATTAATTATAAATATTGCTTAATTTTCTTGTTGCTCTTGCTGTTGTTTAAGTGTAAATAAATTCTTTGAAAAATGGTCTTATTTTAAAAAAGGAAAAATTCTGTTATGGGTTTTAAATAGATTTTCTTTACATTCTTTACTTTTTTAGG